GGCTGCTTTTGTGGCTTGGAAGGTGAATGGAGCCCAGATCGGCACTTAAGGAGCTTCCGTCTTGCCCCAGATTGACACATATCTATCATTTATTTTTATTTTATTTATTATTCTTTTCTCTGTTCATCTTCAGTGTCCAGTCTCACTCCCCTTCCCCCATAGGCACTGTGCTCAGGCTCCCTTTGCATTTTATTTATACTTATAACGTACAAACACACTTTAATGCACAGATATGCACCCACAGGAACAGCGTGGCAATGTGTATATTTAATGTACAGAAGTGACGCCCGGCTGGGCGTCTCGCTGTGCTGCTTTGAGAGCTACTCGTCTTCACTGAGGCTCGTCCTCGCCTCGCTGCTGCCCCTGCCCCGTCCTCACCCTCACGCACCGCACACCGCACACCCTGCTCAGTTAGCGGCTCCTTACTGCAGAGCAGTTACTCCCAGGTCTGCCCCTGAAGCGCAGCGAGGCTGCAGCAGGCATCCTGGGCCGCCCCCCTCCGAGTGCATGGAGAGGGACGTCGCTGGGGTTTGCGCACGAGGACCTGCAGCCTAAAGCGGTATATATGCCCTTTGTCCCTGCCACTAACTGCCTCCAAACTGCTCGCCGAAACCACCGCCCCAGTTTTTACTTCCCCTGCCCGGGCGTAAGGGGCGCATTTCCCCCGCGTCTTCGGCAGTTTGCAGTTATCCCCTATTTTTATCTTTGGATGTAAAGTAGTGTCCATTTCTCTCTTTATTTTGCATGCCTCTAACTACTCGTTTCTAATTCCTAATTAATTATTAATCTCTCAGGCCTCTTCTTAGACCTGTCAGGGGAGGGAGCTCACAATGCAGTCGGCTGCCCCACAACCGACAGGCAGACGGGCCGACCCAGGGAGTCACAGCTGACAGGGGCAGGAACCCAGAAGCGGGGCCGTCAGCAGGAGCCGGTGCGGGGACAGGGAAACCGCAGGGAAACCGGGGCCAACAAGCCGCTGGGGGCAAGTAAAAGCTCTGGAGGGCCCCAGTCGCGGGTGGTGTCGGGGACACACTTGTGAGTTTTCCCTCTTGTAGTTGCTATTCCAGATTCTCGCAGGGAACCTCAGAGCGCTCTGGCCAAGGGAGGGGAAGAGGAACCGTTTTTGAAATATACCAGAACCTTCTGTTTTTCTTAAGAATGAGGTCTGGCCCTGGCCGGTGTGGCTCAGTTTGTTGCACTGTCATCCCGTACTCCGAGAGGTGGCGGGTTCGATTCCCGGTCAGGGCACGTACGGAGGTGCCCGATCCATGTTTAGCTCTCACATCGACGTTTCTCTCTCGCTCTCGCTCTCTCTCCCCATCTCAAATCAATTTTAAAAAACATATTCTCTGGTGAGGATTGAAAAAGAAGAGTGAAGTCTGCCCCCATGAGAAACTGTTGGACCAGAGTCTAACCTGCTAGAGTTGGTTTTATCGGAGCCTGAGTGACCTGCAGGGAGAAAAGCACCCAAGCGCAGCCCCTCTGCCACCCTGCTTCAGGTGAGGGGGCTGAGAAGGTAGGGAGGTGAAGGTCACGGCCCAGAGGCACAGCCCACTAGGGAGCGGGGCCCTAACCACAGAGCTATCAAACTTCCCTTCCCTCTACGCCCTGCGCCCATCACTAAAGGCATCATTTGCAGCAGTTCCTCTCCCTCAGGGCCTCATGTCCACCTTTCAACAAAAAATTGCAAGGCACACTCAGAGGCTGAGGGCACAGTCTGAAGAGAGATGCAAGCGACAGAACCAGGCTCAGGCATGGCAGGGGTGTGGGAACCATCAGGCCGGGCGTCTGACACAACTGTGACCGATGTGCCCGCGGATAAAGCAGGCAGCGCGCAACGACAGGCGGGCAACGCAAACGGAGGTGGAAACGATAAGAAAGGAGCAGAAGGAAACTCTGGAGATGAAAACACTGTGACAGAATGAAGACCGCCCTCGATGGGCACGTGAGGAGACTGGAAGTGACTTGAGGCCGGGGTTTCTGAGCTTGAGGCTCTCTCAGTAGGAACCCCGAAGACTGAAAAGCAGAGGAGAAAAAGGCAACAACAGCAAATCCCCAGAAATACACCCGGGCCTCTCATGGTGAAACTTCAGAGATCAATGGTAAAGAAAAATCTGGAAGGGGGTGGGCACCTTACTTATAGAGGAGCAAAGATGAGAATTACATCTGACTTCTCAGAAACCACACAAGCAAGAAAAGAGTGGAGTGAAATATTTAAAGTGTTAACAGAAAGAAAATACCAGCTAGAATTATTTACCCTGTAAAATGATTCTTTGAAAGTGAAGGAAAAATAAAGACTTTTTCAGACAAGTAAAAACTACGAGAAATGTTAAAAGAGGTTTTTTAGAAAAAAGAAAAAGTATAAAGGTTAGAAAATTGGATCTACATAAAGAAAGGAAAAGCATTGGAGAAAGAATAAGTGAAGGTAAAATAAAAACTTTTATTTTTTTGTATTCTTAATTGTCCTAACAGATAATAGTTCATTCAAAAGACTAACAGCAACAATTTATTGATTATATATGCATATATAAGCAGATATACTCTTATGTATAATTATGTACAAATGAAATTAATGATAGCAATAATAATACAAGGGACACTAGGGAGGAATTAGGATTATTTTGTTATTATAAAGTACTCACACTACCTGTGAAGTGTTATAGTATTATTTGAAAATGGACTTGGATTAATTGTAAATGTATATTGCAAAAACCTAAGGTAACTGCTAAAAAAAATAAAGTAAGAAATATAGCTGATATGCTAAGAAAGGAGAGAAAATGTTCAATTAAAACCACAAAAGAATGAAAAAGAGTGAAAGACAAGATTAGGAACAAGGACAACAAATAGAAAACAGTAATAAATGTAAAAGATATCCATCCAAGTATATCAATGATCACTTTGAATATCAGCAGTCTAAATGCACCAATTAAAAGAGATTATCAGAACGTTCAATAATCAGTGTGCCCTGGCCGGTGTGGCTCAGTTGGTTGGGTGTCATCCCGGGCACCAAAAATTTGCTGGTTGGATTCATGGTCAGGGAACATGCCCAGGTTGTGGGCTTGATCCCCAGTAGGGGGTGTGCAGGAGGCAGCCAATCGATGTTTCCCTTTCACATAAATATTTCTCATGAACATAGATGCAAAAAGTGTTTAACAAATTAAATCCAACAATGCATNCCTTTCACATAAATGTTTCTCATGAACATAGATGCAAAAAGTGTTTAACAAATTAAATCCAACAATGCATACAAATAATTATACACTATTATGCATGCAGGGCTGATTCATTAAACTCATTAAATGTAATCTATCACATCAACAAACTAAAAAAGAAAAACCACATGATTGTAACAGTAGAAAAAGCATTTGACAAAACCCAATACCTACTCATGACAAAAACTTTCAGCAAACTAGAAACAGGGGAACTTCCTCAAATCTATAAAGAGCATCTACAAAAATCATATAGCCAACATATACTTAATGGTGAGAAACTTGAAACTTTCCCACTAAGATCAGGAACAAGACAAGGATGTCACGTCTCACCAATGTTTTTCAATATCATGGTGGAATTCCTGGGTAATGCAATAATATAATAAGAGGAAATAAAAGGTATACTGATTGGGAAGAAAGGCATTCAACTCTCTTTTTTTTTTTACAGATGACATGATTGCCTATTTAGAAATTTTGAAAGAATCAACAAAATATTCCTAAAAAGTGATTACAGTAAGGTTGAAGGATACAAAGTTAATATACAAAAGTCAATCATTTTCCTGTACACCATCAATGGTAAGCAGAATTTGAAATTCAAAACACAATACCATTTACATCAGCAAAATAAAATGGTTAAGTAAAACCTAACAGAATATGTATAAGATCTGTACGAGGAAAACTATAAGACTATGATGAAAGAAATTATAGAACTAAATAAATGGAGGGATATTCCATGTTCGTGGATAGGAGGACTCAATATTGTCAAGATGTCACTTTTCTCCAACTTGACCTATAGATTCAGTGCAATCCCACTGAAAATCCCAGCATTTTGTGGGTTTTGACAAATTGATTCTAAAGTTTATAGGTAGAGGCAAAAGACCCAGAACAGCCAACACAATATTCAATATTAAAGAAGACAAAGTTGGAGGACTGATACTACTCAACTTCAAGACTCACCATAAAGCTGCAGTAATCGGGACTGTGGTGTTGGCAAAAGAATAGATCATTAGAACAGAATAGAAAGCCCAGAAATAGACCCACATAAATAAAGTCAACTGGTTTTTGACAAAAGGAGCAAAGGCCACACAATGGAGCAAAGATAGCTTTTCAGCAAATGGTCCTGGAGCAACTGGACATCCACATACAAAAAAATGAATGTAGACACAGATCTTACATCCTTCACAAAATTAACTCAAAATGGGTCACAGATCTAAATGTAAAACGAACAACTCTACAACTCCTAGAAACTAATACAGAAGAAAATCTGGGTGATTTAGGGTATGGCGATGACTTTTTAGGTACAATACCAAAGGCATGATCTATGAAAGAAAGAATTGATGAGCTGGACTCATTAAAATTAAAGTTTTCTTCTCTGTGAAAGACACTGTCAAGAGAATGAGAAGACAAGCCACCCACTGGGAGAAAATATTTGCCAGACACATCTGATAAAGAATTATGATCCAAAATACACAAAGAACTCTTAAAATTCTACAATAGGAAAGCAAACAACCGGATTAAAAAAATGGGCCAAAGACTTTAACAAGCACCATACCGAAGATACACAGATGGCAAGTAGGCATATGAAAAGATGCTGCGCATAATATGTCATCAGGGAAATGCAAATTAAAATGACAATGGATTACCACAATACACCTATTAGAGTGGCCCAGATCCAAAACAATGACACCACCAAATGCAGATGAAAGTGGGCAGCAACGGGAGCTCCTATTTATTGCTGGTGAGAATGCAGAATGGTGCAGCCACTTTGGAAGACAGACTAACAGTTTCTTAGAAAACGAAACATACCCTTACCGTACAATCCCCAAGTGAACTGGAAACGTACGTCCACACAAAAACCTGCACACAGCTCTAGGCACAATTGCCAAAATTTGAAAGCAACCAAAATATATTTCACTAGGTGAGTGGAGACACTGGAATATTATTCAGCACTAAAAAGAAATGAGCTATCAAGCCATGAAAAGACATAGGGGAAACTTACGTGCATATTACTAAGTGAAAGAGGCCCATCTGAAAAGGCTACATACTGTGTGATTCCAACTATGTGACATCTGGAAAAGGCAAGACTATGGCGACAGTCAATAGAGCAGTGGTTGCCAAGGGTTGGGGGGAGGGAGAGGTATTTAGGCAGAACACAGAGGATTTTAGGGCAGTGAAACTATTTGTATGATACTATGAGGGTGGATACATTTGCCCAAACGCATAGAATGTACAGCACCAGGAGTGAACCCTAATGTGAACTACAGACTTTGGGCGATAACGATCTGCGGATGGAGGTATAGCAGTTGTGGGGGATTTGATGGTGGGGGAGGCTGTGCGCCTGTCGGGGCGGGGGGCATGGGAAGTCTCTGTACCTTTCTCTCAATTTCGTACCTTTCTCTCCATTTTGCTGTGAACCTAAAACTGCTCTACAAAATAAAAAAAATGTTCTATGTCTCAATATGCTACGTGTTACACAGGTGTATACATTGGCTAAAATTCCACTTTAAATGAGTACATTTTTTGGCATGTTGCCTTATGATACATTTATAAAGTTGATTCTAATAGGAATGTAAGACTACGCTGGTGTAAAGGGTAGAAAAGAGGCTGCACTAGGAGGACATTACAGTCCGTGAGAGCTAAAGGTCATTTGCTCTTTGCCTGTGGAAACGGAGAGAGTATATTTAGAGGTGAAAGCCACAAGACTTGTGACTGGTTGAGTGGCAGAAGTGTTAAGGACAGTTTCCAGGTGTCTGACCTGAGCGACTGGGCAGAGAATGGTGGGTGGGCTATGCTCGGAGCTGGGGAGCTGGAGGGGACAGGCAGGCTTGGTGGATCCCCACCTCCGTGGAGATGTTGGCTCCACCATTCTAAACGCAAGAGAGTCTTTCGTCTTGGGGGACGAAGGCAAGGAACTCATCCACAATATCTGATATTGGTAGAGCCAGACCCGCAGATGTGCTGCAAACTCCCACTGGCGGGCAGCCCCACCGGAGAGAGGCCATCTCCCTCCTTCTCCGTCTTTTGTCATCCCAGATGGATGAGCAGGCAGCCGACCTTTCTGAGTCATTCGGCAAATTCCAACAGCATCCTCATCTGAGACTCTCCGGTCTCCACTGGGCAAGATCTGAAGCCCGAGCTTCAATTGGATTGGAGAAAAAGGTAGTGAAATTCTAACACTTAGAAAGCCAGGAAAGAGAATGCCAAGGCCCAGATACCTACTCTAAGAAATAAAAAGCGTATGTTGAGCCGCTAGCAAAATTCACTTCTACAAATAACACCACCGCCTTGGGGAACAGCAGAGACATTTGACCAGGCAGCAGCTGTGCAGAGGATGCTATTTAAAGACTCAGCTTTTGCTGCCCAAGGACTCTGGGCTTAAGATTTGATTGGAAGGCAGAGCGAAGACAGCAAAGACTGAGAAAAGAACCCGATTTGGGGAAAACATCACCAGGTGGTTGGCTGCTGATGTGACCCCTGAATACGTTAAACGAGCTCATTTTAATAAAATTATGCCTATCCATCTCTCTCTTTGTAAATTAAATGTGTTCGTTCATGGAAAGCACTCAGAACAGTGTTCAGCACACAGTGCTTACTAGAGGGAAACTGTCTTTATTATCATTACTATCTGTCCATCTACCTATCTACATCTAGCTGTCCAGAGATGGAGAAATGCTCCTCTGGTATGTTACTGCAAAGTGGTAGAATTTATAGTGATTCTGTTTTTAACTCTTTTTTGTGTGTGTTTTTCTGTAATCCATGAACTGTTCACAATGAATATATATATTTTGTAAAAACCGTAAGTCATTATTCTGGGGGGGGGTGGGATTAAGGCTCTGGAGTCAGACTTCCTAGGGTTAAACCCCACTGCTTAGTCGCTGTGTCACCTACAGCAAATTATTTTCTTTCCTCGAGCCTGTTTTCTGCTGCATTAAAGGAGGTAATAATGTCACCTACCTCACAGGGTGGGTGCGAGAATTCGATGAGCTAATCTAGGTAAAGGGCTTGGCATGGTGCCTGGCAGGGAGTAAAAGCAGAGCGGTGACGGCTGTTCTTAGCTGTAGACATGGTAGCAGCTGAGTTATTTCCTACTAGGGCAGGGGGCCACCTTCTACTCACCCCAGTGCTCCCGGCATGGACCAGTCACCTCAGAAATGGAATTTAGCTGGAGCCACCTCAGCCATTGTCCCGGGAACACTTTCTGTCAAGGTAGAAAAAAGGGTGGCAAGTCCACAAGTACCTTCCCCATCAAGGTCAGGGGTCGGGTCCTTCTGGTGACCAGTTAGAAAAAAAAAAACAGAAAACCTGCCAAGAGATGAGGTTCTTCGCTGGCCCAGCCACTGTTCTAATCCCCCCGTATGACGGCCCGAAGCCAGGGCCCTGCTCTCCGCGGCCCTGGGCTGTTCCTCACGCACCCCGGCCAAGCCATTCCCGTGGGAATTTCTAGCGCTGCAGAACCCCGAGGAAACAATTAGGGGGAAACACTGGCTGTGTGAGTGTGGGGTGTCCCGGGGGACAGCAGCTCCGGATGTCTAAGCCAGGCCTTCAGAAGGAGGGGCTCCCTCCTATGCATCCTAAATGCTCTACAGCAAACATGTTTTTGTTTTAAAACATGAAATAAGAAATAAAAACTAAAAACAAACAAAAAACCCCAACCACCCTATTCTTTGTAAACATGGTCCCAGGAGGCACGGTGGCCACACTTCTCCCCCTTCCTCTTTCTAGTCCAGATAGATGCAGAGTTTCCTTAAGTGGAAGAGGGAGGACGGGTCTCGCCTGCAGTTAGTTATTCCTGTTGTTTGAGACTCAGAAGCCTCGTGTCATCCGCAGTCACACGCAGTACATTGGAATAATACTGTTTTCTTA